ACGTTGATGGTAGTGAATGGCTGTTTTGAACTGTCCTAGACTGCAATAAGCTTTGCCGAGATTGCCATAACTGATTCCCTCTCCGGCCTTGTCTCCCACTTCTTTAGCAATTTCTAGATGACGTTGATGGTACTGGATGGCTGTTTTGAACTGTCCTAGACCTTGATAAGCGTTGCCGAAATTGCCATAACTTCCTCCCTCTCCAGCCTTGTCTCCCACCTCTTTAGCAATTTCTAGATGACGTTGATGGTACTGAATGGCTGTTTTGAACTGTCCTAGACTGCAATAAGCTTTGCCGAGATTGCCATAACTGACTCCCTCTCCGGCCTTGTCTCCCACTTCTTTAGCAATTTCTAGCTGACGTTGATGGTACTGGATGGCTGTTTTGAACTCTCCCAGGCTGTGAAAGGCGTTACCGAGATTGCCATAATTTCTTCCCTCTCCGGCCTTGTCTCCCACCTTTTTAGCAATTTCTAGATGATGTTGATGGTACTGGATGGCTGTTTTGAACTGTCCTAGACTGTGAAAGGCGTTACCGAGATTGCCATAACATCTTCCGTCCTCGGCCTTGTCTCCCACCTCTTTAGCAATTTCTAGATGACGTTGATGGTAATGTATGGCTGTTTTGAAGTGTCCTAGACTGTGAAAGGCGTTACTGAGATTGCCATAACTTCTTCCCTCTCCGGCCTTGTCTCCCACTTCTTTAGCAATTTCTAAATAACGTTGATGGTACTGGATGGCTGTTTTGAACTCTCCTAGGCTGTGAAAGGCGTTACCGAGATTGCCATAACTGATTCCCTCTCCGGCCTTGTCTCCCACTTCTTTAACAATTTCTAGATGACGTTGATAGTACTGGATGGCTGTTTTGAACCCTCCTAGACTGTGATAAGCGTTGCCGAGATTGCTATAACTTTTCCCCTCTCCGGCTTTGTCTCCCGCTTCTTTAGCAATTTCAAGATGTCTTTGATAGTACTGGATGGCTGTTTTGAACTGTCCTAGACTGTCATAGGCGTTGCCGAGATTGCAATAACTGATTCCCTCTCCGGCCTTGTCTCCCACTTCTTTAGCAATTTCAAGATGACGTTGATGGTACTGGATGGCTGTTTTGAACTCTTCTAGACCTCTATAAGTGTTGCCGAGACTGCAATAACTGATTCCCTCTCCGGCCTTATCTCTCACTTCTTTAGCAATTTCTAGATGACGTTGATGGTACTGGATGGCTCTTTTGAACTCTCCTAGACTGCGATAAGCGATGCCTAGATTGCAATAACTGATTCCCTCTCCAGCCTTGTCTTCCACTTCTTTAGCAAATTCTAGATGACGTTGATGGTACTGAATGGCTGTTTTGAACTGTCCCAGGCTGTGAAATGCGTTACCGAGATTGCCATAACTTCTTCCCTCTCCGGCCTTGTCTCCCACTTCTTTAGCAGTTTCTAGATGACGTTGATGGTACTGGATGGCTGCTTTGAACTGTCCTAGACTGTGATAAGCTTTGCCGAGATTGCCATAACTTCTTCCCTCTCCGGCTTTGTCTCCAATCCCTTTAGCAATTTCTAGATGACGTTGATAGTACTGGATGGCTGTTTTGAACTGTCCTAGACTGCGATAAGCGTTCGCGAGATTGCGATAACTGATTCCCTCTCCGGCCTTGTCTCCCACTTCTTTAGCAATTTCTAGATGGCGTTGATAATACTGGATGGCTGTTTTGAACTGTCCTAGACTGTGATAAGCGTTGCTGAGATTGCCATGACTGATACTCTCTCCGGCCTTGTCTCCCATTTCTTTAGCAATTTCTAGATGACGTTGATGGTACTGGATGGCTGTTTTGAACTCTCCTAGACCTCTATAAGCGTTGCCCAGATTGCAATAACTGATTCCCTCTCCGGCCTTGTGTCCCAGCTCTTTAGTAATTTCTAGATGACGTTGATGGTACTGGATGGCTGTTTTGAACTGTCCTAGGCTTTGATAAGCGTTGCCGAGATTGCAATAACTGATTCCCTCTCCGGCCTTGTGTCCCACCTCTTTAGCAATTTCTAGATGACGTTGATGGTACTGGATGGCTGTTTTGAACTCTCCTAGAACTCTATAAGCGTTGCCGAGATTGCCATAACTGATTCCCTCTCCGACCTTATCTCCCACCTCTTTAGCAATTTCTAGATGACGTTGATGGTACTGAATGGCTGTTTTTAACTCTCCTAGACCTCTATAAGCGTTGCCGAGATTGCCATAACTTCTTCCTTCTCCGGCCTTGTCTCCCACTGCCTTAGCAATTTCTAGATTACGTTGATGGTACTGAATGGCTGTTTTGAACTGTCCTAGGCTTTGATAAGCGTTGCCGAGATTGCAATAACTGATTCCCTCTCCGGCCTTGTGTCCCACCTCTTTAGCAATTTCTAGATGACGTTGATGGTACTGGATGGCTGTTTTGAACTCTCCTAGAACTCTATAAGCGTTGCCGAGATTGCCATAACTGATTCCCTCTCCGACCTTGTCTCCCACCTCTTTAGCAATTTCTAGATGACGTTGATGGTACTGAATGGCTGTTTTGAACTGTCCTAGGCTTTGATAAGCGTTGCCGAGATTGCAATAGTTTCTTCCCTCTTCAGTCTTATCTCCCACTTCTTTAGCAATTTCTAGTTGACGCTGATGGTAGTTGATAGCTGTTTGAAACTTTCCTAGGCCTTGATAAACGTTTCCGAGATTGGAAGAACTGTTTTCTGTGACTATTAGTTCAGCATTAGTTTTCCTTAGTAATTGAAGGAGACGTTTGTTGTTATTTTCAATCTTAAAACGTGTCAAGGGTTGATAAATCATGAGCAGATTTTCGAAAATGCAGTGAGAGTATTAGATAGAACTTTAAACTTGAATGATAATTCGAACGTGGGATGTTTTCAGAGATTTGATTTCAAGTTATTGGAGAGTTTTAACTAGCTCTGAAGCGCATTTATTGGTTTAGGTTCGGTCGTCATGGTGATGCTCGTCTGAAGACAAAAATGAGGGGTATTCAGCTCAAACTCTGAGAATTAACTACTCTCCTTTTGAGTAAAGTTTTGTGGAATAGTCGAAAGAATTCTTTAAGAATATTTTAGCTTCTTTAAACTGCTCAGTGCAATATAAGAGAACATTGCTTGCATTATGTGTTGAAGAATCTTTCCGGAACGTATTGATTTCCCTTGAAATATTACTCGCATTGCATCTCGTATCACCTTTGAAACATTCGTTAAAGGATACGGCCAATCCCATATACAACCAGCTCCTTGCTTCTTTATACCGGCAAAGTTCGACACACGCTTCTGCTCCTGAAAAGGAGGGAATAATTGGTGGTGCGTAGTAATTCATCACTGTTAAGGTATAAACGTATTCGTAAAATGGACTTGATTTCCCATTTAGCTGGGAACAAAAATTGTGATAATGAAGGAATTTTGAACTTGTGAAAGAATTGAAAATGAACAATAAGGGGCTAATGCAAAGCGGCTACCAATTAAGCTTCAGTTGATGATAATGACGATCAATTCATCTCGCGCATTCTTCATTTGTGCTCTTACGCGCTTTTCAGCCCTTTTCGGGGAAGTTTTCGGGCAGACTGCATTGAGCAGTTTAACTTTTGAAGGGGAATTTTTCAGTCTCTTTTCCGGGTTTTGTAACGTCCCCTGCTAAGAGTTACAGAGAAGATGCAGGAAACGGGGGTTACGGTTTTCCGTCCATATCGGAACAAGAATATCAAACCATTTGCAGATGTCATGGCTAAGTGGCAGCACATTCTCCTAAGATATTTTAAGAGTGTTGTTCTGGTCTAGGGCTTGAGCCCTTGGCCTCCGGCGCTCTACAACGTGAACTAACCAGGCAGCGGTATTTGAGAGCTTACTGACATTTTCTTATGCTTTTTACCCACATAACAGACATCGACACACCACATACAATTGACACTTGAAGTGCAGTTACCTGCCACAAACCACACAATCCTCTTTTGACGAAATCAGAGAATAGAATGTTGATGGCTTATGTTTGAAAAACCCACCTTTCTCAATAGCTTTGATTAAAGTGGGTTCCAATTGAACGGCAACTGTTGCATCATCCAGACATTCCACGTAGTTTGCTATGAGATTCAGGAAAGAAGATTTAGAAGAGAAGCCTGACAAATTACAATTGGTTAAATTGCAGTCTACTAACGAGAATCATTTCTTTGCTTAATTTTCATCCACTAAAGGGGGATTCATGTATTTGTGCTTTGCTTCTGCTGTTGCTCTCTATTCCGTTATCTTGTAACACTGCATGAAAGATTATATATTTAGAAATAAAATTGTTACCCAAACGGAAATGAGCCGTTGCCCTGTTGTTGTAAAGCTTGGCGTTCAGTCGTTTATCTTTGCAGTTCACTTGAAGTCCTTCCGTGTAGGAGTTTATCGCTTTATTAGCTTCTCCTCGAGTGTATTCTTTGTTACCTTCCTGGAGACATACTATCGCTATCCCTGAAAACACACCATGTTAGTGTTGATGATTTAGTAATGAGTTACACGACCCTTGGCGGATGATGCCAACTTTATATAGTTCCAAACGAACTGTTAGGTTAAAGGAGCTTAGAGCCATAAAAATAAAAAAAAAACAGAAAAGTTTAGTATTTGTACATTTTGTTCAAGTAAAATGTGTAAGGTGTTGGGAGTCTGGGCTGTACCTTAATTGGCTATTACCAGTTCAAGTTTCTCCGTTTACATTTGGGTCAAGAGACTCTCCAAAAACCCTTTTACACCTGGGTTACGTTTTCCAAAGTATCCCAAATTTCAGCAGGAGATCCTATTTCAACTGAACTCTGTTTATAATTGCACTTCAGGAGACTTTATCTGTGCATTTTGTTTGCATTAAAATATGCAAGCAATCTGGAGTTTCAGCTATAGCTTGGCTATAACCAGATCAAGTTTGTTTGGTTTACATTTAGGTCGAAAGACTTTCCAAAATGCCTTTTACACCTGGGTTACGTTTTACAAAATGTCAAATTGGAATATAAAACCCCATAAGTTGTTGAGAAAAAATGTATAAAGCAAAGCAAAGCCAGGACCGAAAAAGGTTAAAACTTGTGAATGTTCGGATAAAGAAAAGAAACGTCGTGCTGAGAGTGACAAGTGCATCGGAAAAACATGCTTTTTCTTTTTTTTCTTTTTGGTTTATTACATACATGTAATTGTCTATTGAGAACATGCTCGTTGAGGCTCACTGGAAAAAAATATCATTGGGAAAGTACTACTTTCCCGCGAATTTCCATTTTGCCTGTTGTGAAAGTCAGGGGTTCTACTATTTTGTGAGCTGGTGGTTTACAGCGTGAACCTGGTGTTGACATAACTGTCCGAAAAGGTGTCAAATATTTAGAAGACCAAAACAGGCGATACGGCTGAGACAAAATGCCCCTTCTCTCTGTAGAATTCTCAAATTGCGTGAAAGCTCCTCCGAACAAGTATTGAACAATAAGAGACAAAAAATACTTTCCTTTTGGCGGCCTAAAAAAAATTTACCCGTTTGCAAATTTTTCAATACTGGACTTTACCAGGACTACGGGTACCAACAGCTCTCTCTTATCGAAAATGACTTTCGCACTAAAAATGACCAAATTTACAATATTTTCAAAGGCAAAAGAAAAATACTTTTTACTGCACAAATATCGTTCATTTTAGGTGCAAATTGTAGATACATCTTTTATCTCCAAAACATTGCGCGTTGATTTACAGGTAAGCACTTCTAAAACTCAGAAAACCGAGTTTTACCAAGCCTAGTAGGCCAATTTTGGCTCATTCTTCTTTAATTTAGGGCTCTTCAAAAGTGTAGTCGCGTTCAAATTTGCCGCTTTATTGCTTATGAGAAGTTAATGATGTCTACGCATTCTGCTCGATCGGATCGAGCAATAAATTGTTTTTCCCTTTGTTATTTTTAATTTTTCTGGTAACAAAGTTTGAAATTAAAAAAAAAACAATATTTTGCTGTTTCAAAAACTTATTCACAGAACCTACGCAAATTTTGATCTAAATGTGACAAAAACTTCACTGGGGCGTCTTTCAAAAAAATCTTGTTTCAGCCGGTGTTCTTACCACTTAAAGGGTCATTGTATACATCCAGTTCAGCATCACTTGATGTAACTTGACTTTCCTCTGTTGCTGAAATTACCGAGAAGATATTTCAACTTTGTTAGTGATCACAACCATGTGCAATTACAACTAGCCTTCTAATACCGGCGTATTTAGTGGATTCCTTAAAACATTCAAGTCGAGGTGGTCCAAAAAATTGAGCACCAGAATTAATTAAGTAAGTATACTTAATTAACAAACAGTACAAAATCACCATTACGAAGTCTTTCCCTGTTGCTTTTTCTCACCTGTGGCTGGAAACTCATTTTTCACCTCCAGTTCCTCTTCCGTTGTTGGAAGGTTACTTTCTGCCATAGCTAGAAATAAAATTGAATCGATTGTACTGCGCTACATTGTTAAAAATCAAAAAGAGGAGACTCAGATGAAAGTAACCTAAAGAAAAAGTTGTATACTTAATCATAGAGGAAGAATGAGAATCTCAAAGTTTCCTACGTCACGCTATTGTGATTGCGTGACAGCTCCAGTCAAGTTCCGCAGGTTGTGTCATATTTGTTTTTTTCAATTGCTTGTTTGTTTGTTTCCGTAGTCTCATACGCTGAAACGTCGTTCAAGGCTGTCCCTAAACAAAATGCGCGAGTTCCAATAAACAACCCATTGTACCTGGTAGCCATGGATAAGCATCGATCAAAAATAATGCAACATAAACAGAATTATAAGTTCTAGTACATAAACTCCCTCATTATATTTTTCTGAAGGAACCAGGAAATTTAGAATAATAGTGTCCTATTCATCAAAACTCTTGTTATCAAGAAACTTCATCTAGAACAAATTGCAAGCCATGCACAACACAGAGACTTCTGCATAGCCTAATCTTGTAGGCCATCGAATGGATTCACTGCTAAGGCCATGAGCATTTGGCGGAGGAAGTAGACTGAAAGCAAAATGAAACTGAAAATTATTTGTGAACGAATTGCTGATCAAAAAAATAATCTTTTGCAATATTATACTGAATGGGAAATTAAAAACATTTCCCTGAAGCTTCTGAGGTGGTCTTGCCCTACAGAACAGGATTCTGCTCCAATATCAGCATTTATTGAGCCCACAGTTTTATCTTCCAGCGCATGATGTAAACACGCAAACATTGTGCCTATTTAGTCAGTCATCGCGCGAAAAGGTTTATCTACTACAACCGAACTCTGACAGACAACCAGTGAGAAATGATACTACTAACCACCTTATAGATACGTAGTTCGAACATTTGAATACAAAAAAATTTATTCACCGTCGACGATTCCCGAGGCAAGTTTCGCAAGGAGTTGGATTGATGTTCCAAAGCTTTTAAAAAAACAGAATAATTAATCGTGTCGTTGACGAGGTTTCGTTTATATACGTAATCAAGAAATCGTAGTCATCGTGATTCTGGTGTCGAATTTTTCACTTTTGCTGACACGTTTTCCCAATTTCTCTGCTATTTATATGTTTAGGTGGGACCGGCGAGCGAGCAGGAAACCTGTGCTCTGATCGGCTACCCAACAGTGCAAAATGTGTTTTCTTTCGATTCCCACTTTGATACCCCACAAAAGGAAAAAAAAGAAATGCTTGTAGCCTCTTGAATACCTCGTATGATATCGTAACCAAACAGTATATTTCTGTCATATGAATAAAAGCTTTTCCAGTATTTTTGCTAACGAAGACTTCGTCTCAGTCCTTAAAATGTATTGACGGAAATTGGTCGATGTACAGCCTTCTTAAGCTCACACTTGTTCAGTAATACACAAGCATTTATGAGATATCAGATAGCCGCCCGCGGATACGAATTTTACCATCGAGTGTTCATGACATCTTTTTCACCATCAAAGAGATAATTCAATTGAAGCAGATAAATTCGTATCCACAAGCGGAAATGTATCATCCCTTTTATTCAAAAGTATTGATTGTAAATTTGAATGAAATACAATTTTTAAATAGGAGCATCAAAAACAGAAATTCATTTCACCGAAACTAAGCTCGCCGCAAAACAATTAACAATTGGTTCATACGTCAGCGTGCGTTCATCGAGATGTGAAGCACGCGGGAAGTTTGGAGAGTACGAAAGATGCGTAAGAGTCGCTCGAGGTGTAGCCTAGAGCAACTCTAGCTTCCTGAGTTGCAACGGGATAGAAAAAAATTTTTTTCTCGAGGGATTTGTTTGCTGACGTCATGAGCGTTCACAACAGGAATATGAAGCACGCTCGCGCAATTGAATTTAATCAGGCAAATTTACTAGCCATGTTATAATTCAATTTCGGACATTGTAATACAACAGTTTCTCATTACAAGAACTATTTCCTTTAAAAAAATAATTGAATTCAGCTTCAGGTAAAAAAAAACAGTTGAAAAAAAAAAAACCCACATGGAAAGTTAAACTTCGAATGACGACCTTGATACCTATATATGTGATGATATAAATGGTACATTTACAGCGTGCGGTGGAGAATTCATGTTTTGGAAACTGAAAAAATTCTGGTATTTCACCGACAACCATATTACCGTTATTATTACTATATATCGCAAATGTTACGATATCAAAAGAAACGTGCGGATTGTGTATTTTTATTTCAACCTCGAGCTTTGTTTCAAACTTCGTTTGTTTTCGAGAGATGTTTGCTGGTTTTGATATTGACGAGAGCTATGATTATATACAGCACGTTATCTAGCTTTGTCACATGCTAATCACGCGCTTCTGCCGCATAATCATCACGCACAGTTAAACCTTTAACTCCTGTGATCTAATTGTTTATTCTCCCCTTTAGCTGCTAAATGTTTTCTCTTAAAGTAGGTACGAAAATTTGGTGTTAACCAAAAAATAACCAATTCTGCCAGATAAAACTTTGACTGTTCTCATTACCTATTTGCTGGATAATGTATTGATATTACAGGGATAAGTTACAAGTTATATCACTTCCAGGAGTTTAAGGGTTTAAGAAATTGCATTGCGTGTAGACTATTTAACCACGAGGCAAATGAGAGAAACCAATGAAAGTTATAAGTGTATGTAAGTGAAATATTTTCACGTCTGACAACAATAACCGAGAAAATTCGACTGAAATTAAACTTCACTGTTGTCAGCTGCACGAAAATTAAGATTACGACCTTTATTTATAAATAAAATGAGCTCTAAACAGCTCTAATCAGTTACAGAATTAAAATTCATTTGTACCTGTTAAACTGTTATCCTCTGAATCCCTCTATTCTCCAAACGATGTCATTTGTTAATTCTACATGCCTGAAAATATCAAAAGTAATATTTTGCTTTTCAATAATTTCGATGAAAAAATGAAGGTAACATATTCACGAGTTTGAAAGATCTAACTTCATCAAATGCCCAGTTTCATGATCAAAATTGCTGTTCTTCTTTAAGAAAGTTATTGCGCCTGTTTTTATGTTTGTTTTCTTAATTCTTTTTATGATTATTACTTGTTTACATGTTTCTCCATGGCAATTAATTAATTCTGTGATTTAAATTCAGCTCTTTTTCTTTTAGTGCTAAACACTCGCAATCCGCAAAACCTCTTTTCTTCTCAGAGCAGGACATGTTACACTCTGCCAGAACTGAATCGATAAGGATGAATTCACACCGTGAGTTATATCGGACCAATGTAATTTCTCTTCAACTGATCAACTCGATATATCCCTCGTTCAATATGATACACATTTGTTTTGGCCATCTTCCCGTTAGCGTTACAGTTCTCTCAAATTTTCATTTTCCGCTCTCACCGTGACAACTTCATAAAGTTTCTAAAAATAATAACGGTAAGCTTCTTTCTTGTAAATAACTCCCGCCAATTCTGCACTTAATATTTCCGCAGTCAAAAGCGTAGGCGTCTAATGAAATCACCAGAGGGAGATACAAAGCTAAATAAATCACATCAATACTATGTATTCTTTATGTAAATTTTTTTCCAATTTTCTCGTCGTTCGATTATAATATGCTACATATTTCTTCATTAGCTTTCCTCACCTCAAAAATGCTTGCAATAAATTTAACTCCCGAAAGTTCTTTTGCAAGAAAAATACTTGACTTCTCGTTGTATCTAGAGAAAAGTATATTTAAATCGTTTCGCGTCTTGTAAAGAATTAAAGCGAATACCATAAGTACTCTTCTTAAAGAAATATCCAAGGAAGATATTCAAAATTTTTTAAATCTATGTACTCCATGCACCTTTGTGTACAGAAACCCTCGATGTATCTTACAGGAATTTTATGAATAAACTGTCACTGAACCAGTTGTCTTTAAGTTGGAAGAGAAATCTGAGACCCTAGCTCTCTGTCTCTTTGAGCTCCAGAATTGTCTGCTGAGTTTGGTGCAGTAAGCCAGGTCATAAATAAATGTATAATAGTTCATACAGACAAGTGACACACATGATACTGGAATCAGAAATGCCGCAGCTTCGTAAATCCCTCATGGGAAGATAAATAAGCTACCTCAAGGTCTGGTATGTTTATCGACATGTCAGCATTGATATTTAATCTGTCGTTTAACATGACCTGACGGACAGGGTTTTTTTTTCGGTTGTCGGTTACAAATGATTTTTTCCTTTGTCACGAAAAAGCTTAAAATTTCCTCTCTATCATGTATTTTAAGACATGAAACTTTCGACATTGATGATCTAAGCAGTATACAGGATAATCTTCTATGTATCCACTGTATGTCATGGCTCAGTAACGAGAAATATATAGCTATGTGAGTGAACTTCAGATCGTAAAATCCGATGGTCTAAGATTTGATCTTGCGTTCGTGACGAGTAAACAAGATCGATATTTCTTTCATTCTTTTGTATCATGTTTTAAATTATTTCTATTTGTATCTTTAGTCAATACCCGTTTATCGCATTCACTGCATTAGGTCTCTATTAACTTATTCTGTCCTCACCTTAACTCCTGTGAAACTGTGATTTGCCCCACAAGTGTGTAACAAAACGGTGCACTTGGTAACACCAGCAGTATTGAAGAAGCTGAATATGAGCTCATCGAACTCGAAACAGAAAATCGTGTATCATTGTTTATTTCGTGATCCGTGATTCTATTTTGTAGCTATGCTGTTTCACTATTTATACGCCAAGTTTGGACAGGGCCTCATAGTACATTTTTTAACTTTTTATTTTCATTAATCCCGAGTGTAGCACAATGACATAAACATCCTGCTTTTTTATTTTGTCTTTTTTCCTGATGTGATGGTCGTTAAATCATCGCCTGCTTAGGTTGATAGAAGGGCGCTGAAAGGACTGGGGAGAATGAGCATAGTTCCTTTGTCTATAGGTCCATATTAAACCATGACCAAACTATAGGCTTTGCGCTTGCGCCGCGAATCAAAGCGAATCAAAGCGGGAAAAAAAACAAAAACAAAAAAACTCGCTCCTGAACTTACAGTACGCACGTGGAACTCGGGTGAGTAAGAGATGTGGGTTATTCACTTATTATATAACCAAAACTAACGAGACCTCATGTGTTACTTAGGTGTTTTACACCACAAAAGAAACACACATACCGAAAGCATAGATATATGTACAATACATGTAGGATGCTCACTAGTGAGGAAATTTAAGGCATACAGCTGAAGTGTGAATTAAATTTACTGTGAAGTCATGCTCTTGTGCTAATTGTTGGAAAGGTTTGAAACACCCACCTTTCAGTGCAGGTGATGATGATAGTGTTTGTGTTGTTGGAGATGACACAGATCTTTCACTCAGTTGTGACAAATCACCCTCAAACTGATCTTTTCCCTGGCTGAGGGACTCCACTGGTTCAGCTTTCTCCTTCTTCTTTGTCTTCTTCTCCACACTTGGTGGTTCATAGCTGGTCTTATTGCCTGGTTTTGTTCTGACAAGCTCAAACAGAGCGTCTTCATCTATTTGGATTAGGGGAGGGGTAGGTAGGCAGTTTCTCAGATACTGACATTGAACCAACATTTAAACAACAACTGAGAGAAAAAGGATAAAATACATTATTTTGTTTAACCCTTTAACTCCCATGAGTGAACAAGACAGAACTTCTCCTGACTATATCAATACAATATCATGCAGACAAGTGACGAGAATAAATACAAATATCAACCAGGGGATTATTAGTTGATCCAAGACCAAATTCTCCAAACCACCATCACAAGAATTGTATGACAGACAGTACGGAGAATTACTATTGAGATCTTGGAAGTAAAAGGGTTAATCAAAGCATGCATTTTACAATTTTTTTCAATAAACTGTATCTGCAGATTTTCCAAACCAGCCTTAATTCTAATAATCTTCATTTTCCTTTGTCTTGCATCTCTCATTAGATTTGAAAAGATGGTAAACAAACCGTAAAGAGCTTTGAGAGATAATAATAATTTAACTACCGGAAGAAATTAACATGTAACTTCTCCCGAGAATATCCATACATTATCCAGCAAACAGGTAATGAGAACACTAAAACTCATCAGGCACATGTAGTTGTGTTATAATGATCTAACAACAAATTCTCATTATTAATTTACAGGAAAATGTGTAGCAGATAGAGGGGAGAATTAACAATCAGATCTTGGTCTTTAAGACCTACCAGAGGGATTTCCTTTGAACCAAGTGTCCTAGGACCATCTCTTGCCATAAAACTACGGTAGCCAGATTTTTTTCTTTTCCAGTGAGGGTGGAACTTCAACCACTTCCTCTGATTTTGACACCTTTGGTGTTCCTTTGATTGGAGTTTCCTTATCGACATCTTTTTTATCCTTTTTCGGAGTAACAATTTTCTTTGGACTTGGTTTTGAGTCTCTAACTGGAGTTTCTGGAACTATGGCAGCTTTAGCAGCCAGTTTGCAAATGGGAGTTGTCTTTGGTACTTCCTGAAAAGTCCATGGATAAAATTTGAAGTGAACAAAAGTTACATGTATATCAAACATTCTAACAGCTGAGAGTTGTCCTCACAAGGCAAGAGTTGTCCCAAATAGGAATGTTGATAGTGAAAGACACTGCTGCTTTGAAAAATGGAGACAAAGTGGTAGCATCTTCCTGGATTGTCAAAGTTAAAATCACCAAGAATGTACATAAAAGTTTTGTCACCACAGTTACTGTTTAGTGTAAATTCTAGGTACAGTAATGGTTGTTATTTTGAGTGGTTAAAGTATTGAAAGTAATGTTTTGTTGCAAGCATGGTTAGCAACGTGCATATTTGTAAAACCATCTAATTTCATAGTAGGACAGGTTTACAGATACAACTGACATGTACCCCCAGTTAACAAGTTTGATTAAGCTTTTGAATCTTATACAAAGCCAAATTTAGTCAAAAAATGTTACTGTTTCATCTTCAAGTACCTTATTCAGGTGCTTAAAGACACATACCATACACATGCAATCATATCAGATCCAATCAATTCTAGTATCAGGGTAGCAGGTTTAAACATTAATATTACTGATTAAATTTAGAACAATAGAGGATGGTGATCAAAAGGCTTACAAACCTCAGACTTTGATTCTGAGAAGTCTTCCTTTCTTTCCTTTGATGGTTGCTCTGTTGTGTGATGGTTGACATTCCCATTTTCTCTTCCTTCTTTTTCTCTCCCATTCTTGTACTCTTCTTTTCTATTCACTTTGGAGTCTTCATTTTCTTCAGACTCATCAGATCTCTGAGTGAAATGAAAAAAAAATTCTTGATGGTTCTACAGGGAATCAAGGTATGATCATTTGCTGAGCTCTTCAAGCTTAAAATTTTCTCTCATTGACTCATCAGATCTACAAATTCACTGAGTTGAAATGAAAGAAAAAAGAAAAATGTTTTGAACACCATATTCTCAAAGATGGTTCATACTTGTGGACAGAATCAAAAGGTATGATCATTAATGTTGCATTTAATACACCCTTGATGGCTGTGTAAACACTGTCTTTATTATTTTGCTGTTGTTTGTTTGCATTCATTGAAGAAATCTTTTGGCAAATGTTTTTTGTCTTCAACCCTCACAAAACAATGTTGCTGTGCTTGACGAATTCACCAATTGATCCTGAAGATCAGTATGCATATTCTCCATACTGTTCTCTATACATTTCCTAAGGTGCTGACAAGGAGAATTTGTTTAACAAACAAGAGCTTAGTTGGTGATCATTTCCTTTATTCTCATGACCTTAATGTTTGATTCAGGGATGATATTGTAAGGAGAAATTAGATGCTGGTCACTGTTAGGGGTCAAAGGTTAAATGTATCAGCATAAGAGCAGTTTCCTATGACAGATCTAACATTCTCAATGCTTGATGAAAGAGAGGATAGACAAACAAACAGATAAACAACATTAACCTGGACAATTTTTAAGAAGCCAGATGCCTCTCCAGAGCAATATCTTACATTCTAGATTAACACCATGGTTTGGTACTGAAATATCAAATATAATAATAGAGTGCAATGCATGTTACCTCTCATTAACTTGCTGGACCTCTTTAGAAGCTGGCTTTTCTGTTTGTTTAAGAGACTTTTTTAATTTCTAAGGTACAACTTTTTTCCTCATCTGTAGAAACCACATCAAAATACAATTAAAGCACCATAATATCAAAATTATATTAAAGGGCACAGTGGTCTGATGGTGAGTGTGCTCAACCCTAGATCAAGTGGATGGCTTTTTTTTCTTTGGCAAGCTAATACATAGGCAAGGTTAAGGGTCAGGTGATGCAAAAAAACCTGACTTCATTTTACCTAAAGCTCACCTGACACTAAATATTTTCCCTATCCAGCCCTCCCACTCCATCAATAAGGAGAGGAGTCCCCTGAACCCTTTTGAAGAACTCAGTCATGTAAAAATATATTGTCTTTTCATGCATCACGAAAAATATCCAAAATTCTTTCGCATTCACATGAATTCAAAAAAAGAGAATTACGCCAAATTCACAAATTAAAAGTTTCACTCTTTCTCACCTGTTTATAAAGCTGTTAATCCTACAAGTTTGGCTCTTTCAAATAACCCGAAATTCATCAGGGAAACAAAATGGTTTGTCAATCACATTTAATTCATATAATTCTTCATTCATGGGTCGCGTTTAAATAAAGAAAAAACTGTTCAGATGGAAATGGAAGGATTATGTCATCTTTAATCAAAATTCATGAAAAAAAAAATTGAAATCATGATTCCCCTGAAAACAAAATCTCCCAATCACCCTTCTTGTAAAAAGTATAGGGTACCCTCAATAATTAGACATAATTTCCTTACCTGAGTCCAAGCTGATTGGTCAATATTCTACTTTTCATAGCTTTTGAACTCTCCTCCTTCTTTACTGATGTGGCTTTTCTAAAAGAGACATGAATGAAAGAGAACCAGGTTCTGAATACACCTTGACATCAGTATGTATATTCTCCATACTGTTCCCTATACATTTTCTGAGGCAATTACAAGGAGAATTTTTTAAAATAATCAAGAGCTTTTATAGTTAGTGATCATTTCCTTGACTCTTGATTCAGGGGTGATATTAGGGTCCAAAAGTTTAACCTTTAACTCCTAAGATCTGATTGTTATTTCTCCCCTCTAGCTGCTACACGTCTCCTTCTAAATTAGTCATGAGAACTTGGCACTAGATCAAGATAGCAGCTTCTACTTGATAAGTTTAAATATTCTCATTACCTGTTTGCTGAATAATGTGTAGACATCATAAGGAGAGGTTTCATGTTAATCACTTCTGGGAGTTAAAGGATTAACTACAGCTGTATGAAAGGGAACAAAATTCAAGAAACAAATCACATAACTGATTTTTGGAGGAAGAGGATCTTCATCAGAATCTAACAGAGATGTAAGATTAATTTAGAAATAGGGTCAGGACATCATTGAGATGTTGTATGTATACATGTAATTATGTGAATCTTTTTACACCCTAATTTATTTATTTAGCTTCGCCTAATTATCTCAGGCAGGGAGACCACCACAGCTTTAGCCAATTACAGTGAATCCCGCATTAACAATGACAAGGCCAGACCCCCCCCCCCCTCAATTCCCAGTAAACAGGCCAGACCACATCACAGTAATCTTGTGAGTGGGTTCTTTAACATCCCCTGCCTAACCAAATTAACTAATTAATAGAAGCAGGAGACGGGACCTTCGGTTTATTCATCCTTATCCAAGAAGACTAGAATGTCTATCCATTTGACATTATAGAAAGGTAGCACATTCTCCTCAGTTATTTTAAGACCTTGAGTGTTGGTCCAGCTGGGGCTCAAACCCTCGACCTCCTGCACAACAGTCCAGCGCTCTAACCAATTGAGCTAACCAGGAGGCTGTTTCTGTAATAATGCAAATTACATTCGGAATTGACAAGGACACTGTACAGCACAGTACACCATTAAAACAAAAACAGAGGTGTAATAGTTTGTGTAGAGTCTCAACATCTGTTCCTTTTGAAACTGTTCATGTTCACCCTAAAACATTACCTGAGTCAATAATGTTTTTTCCTTTCTTCTTCCTCTTCTGATTTTCTTTTGGTTTTTGTTTTCAGGCAATGTCATCATCTTCACTGCTTGATAAACTCTGCCCAGAAAATCAACAATTACATATTTTTATTCACACAAATGTGAGATAAATTCACTTCTTTGGACCTAACAATAACAACTGGATAAGATCAAGGGGGGGGGGGGTGTTGTTCCTCAGAGCACAACTTTCTTACAAATCATTTTCTTCCACCTCAGAAAAATCAAAAGACACCAGGCTTGTGGAAAACATGGTTTGGGTTAAGTGAAGTCTCAATACTTCTTTATCAGTCATCTTTCAAGCTAATCAACAATTTCATTTTTCCTTCAGTCTGAATAAATGAAAATTAACTGTCAAAACAGAAATTCAAAAGACACCAGGCTACCTGGAAAACATGGATATTTCAAACTTGGGTTAGTGCAGTGTATCACACATGCTGTTTAGTTGTTTCTTAAACAGTCATCTTTCAAGACTATTAATCAACAATTTCATTTTTCTTGATCTCCAGTCCTGAAAGAATGAAAATTAGGGAAAAAAAAAAAAAAACCAGCACTTAGATCAAAATTGTGAATTAAGCATTGTTTACATAATGAAACTGCTACCCTGACATACTCCAACAGTTAATAACAGTTTTGTTGCAGAAAGAAATTGTCTAAGGTTAAAACATGTCGTAAAATTATCTATCATGTGCAAAATTAAAGATTCATGACAAAGGAAATTCTACCATATATGGCAATAAATACCAATTTTAGCGAAATAAGGTTCCCCCCCCATCCCCAGGAGAAGATAGATGGGAATGTGAATCGCAGAGTACATAGATACACATGATGATCGATTCAGTCAGACAGGGGCTGTGATATGGGCAGATCTTTTCTCCGTCACCTCTGAAGTCGAATTCCCTGATAACACAAATAACTTTCTCTTTCAAATGCTACATAATCCATTACTTACCTTGCTTTTCGTTCGGCTCTTTCCTACATCATGTTTCGATAATGACTTCGCAGTAGAATCTTTGCCGCGCTTATTTTCTACTTTCGAAGCGCCTTGTTTCGCTGCCTTTCCAGCAGAGCTAAAGAACGATCGAGTATCCTGTAAAAAATATGTAATTATAATTAAAACACCGGTTAAAAGACTGCCGCTGAGAACTAAAAGGACTCACAAACCATTTTAGTATAGTGACATGTTCACATTACTCTCCTACATTTCTCCGCCATCTTTGAAAATCCTCTATACTTCAGTCAGCGGTCACCAACCTAGCTAGCTTCCAGACTCCTGCTATTTCTCTTCCGCTAATTTTCTGAGAAAGACATTAATAAGATAACCATAATCTAATTCAAATTCACGGAAGCAAATAGAGTTTCTCATATGAAAGGAGCTGTCAGACGAGGGAGGTTGAACCACGTGCAATTGCCTCAATAGATTGCTTGGAAAATGGCAAATAGATCCACGGAGAACACTTCTCAGGGGTACGTACTCTGTTGTGGATGTCGATATTTTCATGAATGCGCTGTAGATTCATGCAAGCTCGTTCTGCGATTTGTTTGTTTCGTTTCGCTGTTGTCTCCTCGAGGTATATCGTTTGTTTATTGAAAAATATTTAAATTCGCAGCATGAAATTTGCAAAAAGTTATTTGAAGTTTTATACGCTGTCATTCAAAAACAATTTCATGTGATAATTATAAAATGACCCTATAGAAAAGAGAAAAAAACAACGTATAAAAGTTCTAACGATTGGACTTGAATGGGATAAATGTGGTCGTGTTACGATTAGTGTGCATTTTCCTAAACTTAAAATTACGCTGGTTTCTAAATTGTATCTTCTTGAGTGATAGCAGATGATGGAGTTTATGCGCAGAATTGGATACTACCGTACTGAGTCAAAGAGTTAACGTTTGTAACCCTGTTCTTTGCGCCTGTCTTTCAAAGATCTGATGTCATACAATGCATTTAGTCTCTATTGTAAAACTAGAATCGACCATATCTCCGCAATTTTTTTGGGCTTACTGTGATTTGCTGAACGAAACGAAACGAACTGAAAATATGAACATCTCCGTGGTGTTCTTTACTGAATACTCACTACGTTCGCGAGGAAATCTGATCCTCTTTTGCATTAAAAAAAACTGCGCCATTTAGCCATAAAATGCAAATCTATAATTAAAAAAAGAAATTCCGTGAGGCTGCAGTTGTGTAATTTACAAACATCGATGTTCGTAGTCGATGAATAATTCGATTGCGTGACATGACATCTTGCCTGAAAAACATCGCGTGACTAAAGTTGCTATGCAGCATGTTTCTGATTGGAAAATAACAATACAAAAAGTTTTCGTTGAGGTTTCAGTTATAATAATGGTTTTCTTGTTATCATTTGTGGGATTTGTGGACTGAACTGACCGATTCATCTTTAAGGAGTCATTGGGATTTTCCATATTTTTTTAAGATCGGTTTTTGTGCTAAAGAATTTCGGTTTTTTGGATTGGGTGTTCGTTGCGGTTTGCGGATTTTCCGTTCTTTAGCATTTGGTTTTCGGTTTTCGTCTAAAATACCTGTCTAATGGGCTACGGATTTGGTTTCCGATGACGTTTTCGGATTGTCCTGTTTGGATTCCGTTTTCTCTTCGATCCAAGCGGCCATTATGCGCCTCCACTGATCTCGAATAGCCGCGAAACCTCTGTATGCTCCACTTGTCAACACCGTATCGGATCGATTAGGGTTTTGAGAACTGGGATATGAACATTTATCGGTTTTTAAGGTTTTGCATGCGGTTTTGGGTTCTGATCGAATCTTTTTTTGCGGTTTTGCGGTTGTGGATGATTTTTGCGACGGCTTTGAGGTTTTTAATAGACCCTCTCATATTTCCGTACAGTGGAGTTCCACACGGATTCTTGCTTTGCAAATTGAAAATCTCTCTTTCTAAAATTACAGATCTTCTTTTTCGTTCTGTTCCGTGTCTTAAATTACAGTAGACCTCGTTAAGTTATTTCTTTTGAAATTGCATGTGGAATTCTTTAATTTTTAAATTTTTTTTTCTGGAAATAAATGCTGTTTTCTTTCTCACTTCACACTTGAATTTGGGACTGAAAGTGAGGGGAATGTGGGCTGAAAGGTGGGATGTCTGTGTCAGACAGCTTGATCCTGCCTTTGTCTGCATTATCATGTATTAACTTTTAAATTTTCCATTCAAGCATGAATTTTTAGTGTTCTGTAACACCTGTTTTTTCTTCTTGAATCCTAAAAATGTAACAAATTTATTTTAATCCAAAGATGTCTTTGTAATTTTGTTTTTTGAGACATGTTGACAGATTTTCAATCTCAAAAATTATCAATTTAGGTGCCCCATAGTTATCAAGGAGAGTCTGTTTGATCTTGGCTGTCTTCCTTCAGCTGTAAGTGAAATACTGAAGTAACTTTCATCAAATAATGACAACAAAATTGTTTACATGCCACAATGATTTGATTTAGCGCCCTCCCTCCAATAAGCACCCCCTTTGGAATACGTGCCCCTCTCCCCCATGTTTTAAGTCAGAAAGGTTGAAAGGTGATGCTGTTTTGCTAAAACTTCATCTGTAATTTCATGCTTGCACAATTGATAATTATTATTACATGTATTGTTATTATTTTTAAGCTTGTCATTATTTTTATACTAGCCTTTGTCAAGCAAAGGGTCAAATCTGGACTTCAAAACTGCAATGGATATCCTGGTTTGTTGATGTGAGTGCAGAATTGACTAATAGAGCAAAAAGGTCAAGGCTTATATTGAAGGTTAACAAAATAATCGTAGTTTGATCATAAATCAGTGCGTACTTTAAGTAGTTGTACCTAAGTCTAAATGACACCCAGCTACATGTACTTTTTTTTTGAAAAAGTTGCTACTTGTCATACAAGGCAAGGGGATGTGCTACTGGTTTGGGTGGCATTTTCATGACTCGCTTAGCTACAATGGGGTTACATTTTCAATAGAGTTACTAGAGTGGTGACTAACACATTTTCATGATTTGGAAAATTTTCATACATCAAAGTAAGGATTTACAAACAGAAAGGTTCAAATTGGATTGACATGTACCAGAATGTTAATGCACTGAAGATGAAAAGTAAAGTGTTCTCAATTCACGTAAACAAATGTGTTGCTTCATTTTAGGATCATGACCTACTTAAAAGACTTGGTTTTAGCTAGATAGATGCATCTATAAACAGAAATTGACTAAGTTGGGATCACAAAAATTACATTTCTGGTAAAGTGACTAACTCAGCAGATGGGGTGTATAGTTGACCACAGAATAGACTATAATAGGGCAGGTATTCCGAGAGGCCAGCAGCACATGGGTAGATGGGATCACAAAAATAACACTTCCTGTAAAGTGACTCACTTAGCAGGGTAAGTAACAGGGTACACTATAATGAGGCAGGTTTTCTGAGAGGCCAGTGGTACATACGCAGCAAAAATTGACCCAAAAACTCCCCCACCCCTGATCTATCAGGAAATTGTGCCATTTCAGTCAGAATATAAACACAGTGCAATAATATGAGGCATTCCCTTATCGAATGGGTTTAATGGGAGTTTATTTTTGAGTGAGCTATTTGGGTGCCACCATTTTACCAATGTTTGTGTGGTTTCCTTTCAGACCATTTGATTTTTTAAGTGGTTTTGGCAACAGATTCACCTTTGCTGTTATGTTTGGAGCCACTTCCAGCACCTGCCTGAATATGTTTTTACAACCAAAAAATGGAATTTTTCAAATGCCTGACCCAGCTGGATGGGTGCAGGGTAAGTGGTCATACCATGGCAACCTGATTTTGAACAAATTGAGTGTTTGTTTGTTTTGCTTTGTTTTTTCTCTCACTGTTAAAATCATTTTAAAGACTATAGTAGCTCTAGGTTAACTCAGTTGCTGTGGGCCAGTATTAGTTTATGAACAAATTTTAATGTTGTTATATGGAATTTAACATATAGTTTAAATGACTAAGTGGAAATACATGTATTGTCAGTAGTGTTTTCAGACATTTGGTTTGTGTCTTAGCCAGCTGTTAGCATCTGTGCAGTATTTGCTGCATTCTGCAGAGTTTGCAGCAGTACTGCTGTGGATGTTAGGGCCCTGGGGCCATCCTCATCCAGCAGTATACCTTATCAGTGCATGCATTGTTCCACCATGTGCCTGTGTTGTGTTTGCTGTTCTATAGCATGGGATTCTTGTCCTTGAGGATAGCAGTTCTTGGTGTTTCCTCCCCTCAAACCTAACTGCAAGGTTTCTTTTGCAGGGTCTATTTCAGCAAGCTGCCACTTTAGCATTGGGTAGGCCAGTTGGTGTTCTAGCACCTCGGGGTGTGACTGTAGTTGCAGCTCCTGGGCCTCTTGGGCACCTAGCCTCCATTTGGGATGTGGGTGTGAACTTGATATTAAGCTATTTATTTATTTATTTGGAATATTTAGACAGGCTGGCTCAGTTCGGCTTTTAAAAGCAGGTTTAAATGTGGGCCTCTATAAATGATAACAAGGCCAGATGACCACACTGGGAGCCACATTTGTTACTCTTTGTTGAAGTCTGTGAGTTGTTTTACTCTTTAACTCTCAAGATCTGATTATTAATTAATTCTCCACTCTAGATGCTGCACATTTGTATATTCATCAGTTATGAGAACTTTTCTGTTAGATCAAGAAAACATCCTCTACCTGAGAAGTCTGGGTATTCTCATCATCTGTTTGCTGGATAATGTAAGGATATTATAGGGAGAAGTTACCTGTACCTGTAAAGGGTTAATGTCTGCTGCTTACAACCAGTACAGAGAAGATGTAGGAGAGTTAATGGGGCCTATGGTTTATCATCCTTAGTCAAGAAGACCAGAACATCTAACCATTTGCAGATGTTGTATCAAAGGCAGCACATCCTCCTCAGTTATTTTAAGAACCTAAGTGTTGTTGTGGTCTGGGGCTTGAACCCTCAAATACCAACACAGCCATAACACCTTCGTAATGTAAAAAGAAATGACAAGGACACATCCAAACCAGTTGCTAGATACTTTAATCTCCCTAATCATTCTGGGCAGCATATGGCACTTTGTGGCCTTTCCCTACATCTAGGTAGTTCGGAGGGCTGCAAAACTCCAGAACAAAATTATCTTTCAAACAGGCACTCTTAATCCCCATGGTATCAATGAATGCTTATCACTCAGCTAATTTATTCTTGTTTTCTCTGCATAATATTCTCACCAATAGCATAGCTCCATTTTCTGCTTATAAATACACACAACCCACAATTCCTCTAATTTCTCTGATGAAGGGCTATTGCACTTGAAATGTCAGCTTTTAAACTCTATACAGTGGCCAATTTACATTATCAACTCAGTTAATAATACTAAATTACCCTGTTATACTCTCCCATTGATGCAGCACCATAGTTTCTTTAGAAACTTACCCCCTTTACCTGCACAGCAGTCCAGCACTCAACATGAGCTGACAGAAAAAATAATTCCTCTGTTTTATTTAGTTTTTCAGAATAATTATTGTCACTGTTTTTGTATATGGGATCCTGTTCTACCCATTTTTTGCTTGTCTGACAACTGACAACAGACTGGTTGGGTCCTTGCTGGGTTTTCTTTATGTTACAATCAGGTGAGCTAGCTATTACTTTGTTTATGAATACCAATTTAATCAGACTGTGAGTTTGTTTTTTAATTATCAAATACAGTTCTCAGAACTCTACAATTGCCAATACTTAATTCAAATATTACTCTAATGTGGAATACTACTCTTGGCTTTGAAATAAGTGATGTTTGTGTTAATTTTGGACCATGTTTTGTACACATGTCCTGGTAAATAGGGAACACAGCATGGCTTACATGTGAAACAATAGACTAATTTGGTTCTCTCTGCTTAATTAACCCTATCAGCCCCAAGGGTAGTCAGCATGTAAGTTCTCCCTCCAGTAATATTGCTGAATCATTCATTAACAAAATGATAATAAAAATAAAAGATTCCTAACTTAAGATACTCTGATTACAACATGAATTCTCCTCATCAGTACCAAAGGAAATAATATTATGTAGTGAAGAGTCTAGAGAATATGGATATTGATTTTAACCCTTTAATTCCCATGAGTGAGCAAGAGAGACAGACAAGTGATGAGAATAAAGAAAAATATCAATGAAGGGATTATAAGTTGATCCAATACAAAATTCTCCAAACTGACTTCATAAGAACTGTACAGTAGACAGTAAGGAGAATTACTAATGAGATCTTAGGAGTTAAAGGGTTAAGGTGTTATACTACAGTAGAAGTACTTTATCAAAGTGATTGATGAAAACTAATTGACAAGGAAAGCAAACTAGGGTAATTAGTTTTCTTATATTCTAAAACAAATATAAAAGACTTGTTTGTTCTTCGCATAGGGGAATCACTTTTATGTTAATTGTATTCTATTTTAATATCCGATCGTTTGGAAAGCTGTAGGGGCTAATTTCAATGCGATGCAATTTGTGCAGTGAACATAATAAACTGACCATCCTGTATCTAATTCGGATATGGCGGGCATTTCGATCGACCTAGCAACCATTACTCTGTAACGAGGTTAGTAAGGGTTACCTCAGTTCTCATATGTCACCAGGGGTCGTAGATACTTTTTCTTGTTTGAAAAAATGGTCAATAATGAGTTGGAATTGATTGATATTCTGCTTACCAAGAAGATAAACATAGGCATGCGTAGCATGCAAGAGTCATTATTTTGGCTGGGAGGGTTAAGATTGGAAACTTTGTGTTCCTAACACTATCAGTTTTGTAACAGAGAAAGAGCATAACTTCTGAAGTAACGAAAATATCGCATTACTTCACCTTAAGAGAAAGGAAAAAAAACTAATTTATCTGAACTCACACAGGTATTTTTTGGTCTATTGTCTCTATTGTCTAAAAACCCCTAAGCAGAAATAAAATGTATCCGTGCCACGCCCACTGTTGTCGCAGCTGTTGTTTAGTCTCGTCTCACAACGCCCTCTATTCCCCGTTAGAGAGAGAGCGTGTTGCGTGACGAGACCAAAGAGACTACGCTTACTACCGTTCCTCAGACAGAGAGAAAATCAACATTATTCATTTACAGTTGGTTGCCTGCAAAATTATTATTATAATTCCACGTAATTTGACTGTAAAAGGCAAAAAAGCCTAAGTTATCTGAACTCACACAAATACTGTCTAAAAAGCTCTGAGCAAAAGTAAAATGCGTCGGTGCCACGCTTAACGTTTTTTCCTTCGCAGCTGTTGTCTAGTCTAATTAGAGAGAGAGAGCACGTTAGCGATGGACTCTGATTGATGGAATACAATACAATACAATCCAAGCACAAGAATGTTTGAGCGTTGTTTTCATGTACGTGACGGAAGTAAGTTGTTTGGCGCGTGCGAACGTGAGAAAAGAAGCGGATAAAACACCTTTAAACTTAAAATTGATAAAACAAGTTGATTGCAAACCTTTTATATACCGATAAACTAGACCTCAATCGACGGGGTTCTTGCGAAAGACACAAATCATTACACATCAAATGAGTCCAATATTTCTGGGTAATGTCATTCTTTGTGCACGGCCTCCTGATTCCATAACATCATGTACGAGAAAAAGTATCCAAACGCTGTGGTTTCTGCTTGATATCCAAGTGCTATAATGTGATTGTGCGAGATAAATACCCTGATGCGGCAATCTGGTTGGTGTGAGACACACCCTTATGCGGCGATCCGATCAGTGCGAGCAACATATTACTCAACACGTAAATAGTCATTTTTTTCATGATAAAAAATGACTAAAAAAATGCGAACCAACACCTGAAATATCAAGCTTTTCCAAAGCCAGTTGGCACCACGACCAGTGGATTTTTTCCAGAACTAGCGTAAAAATTGCTCCTTTCTTTTCCGAATTTAATGCGCGAGACATATTAAATTCCGAAAGACATGAGTGCTTCTTCGAAAGCGGAATGGTAGCTAACAACTTATCATTTACAGAGTTTGCCAGCTTTCGCATTTTTCCGCAAGGGCAACATGTGGAATGACACATTTGGCGTGTGGTTGACAGCTGGAGCTTAACCGCACCAATCAGGAACTCCGTGGGTAACCGGAGTTTTGCAAAATAACAATGTCATCGGACAGGCGTAATCTTCACAATTGGGGGACTCCTGCTGGTCTTTTCCCGCATTTTTACTATAAATTGTATATATGAGACTGGCTGGTTGATGACCTGGAAATATTTCATGTAATTTTAGGAGGCTGTAACTGTGTTTGAAGATTTCACCCCAAAATTCAAGAACGTCACAAAAGACAAGGCTGGAATGGAAGACGTTAAAACACTACAAAAATCATCTTTGAGGTGGCAGAGGCCGTCGAGAAATTTGGAAAGCGACACCTGAGTGGAATGAGGCCTTCAGAGAGGATCGTTTTTCCAAAAATGGGTGAGGTTGTGGCCTTCAATCCTGTTTAGTTTCAAAGTTTATTCCTGTTACTCACTGACTTGCTGACTGACCCTCTAAGTTGTCTAATTCCCTAAAGCTAGATGATGTAAGAGCTCATGTATAAGCCCAACTTTTTAGAAACGTTATTGATGAATAACATCGATTGGTCTGTTCTTTAAATTTGTCTAATACTTTGACACTCTGATTTTTTGCGGTGTGAAAGGAAATTCAAGGTATTCTTAAACAATCAACAAGAGAGAATCAGAATCCTTCAAATTGTGAAACCTTTCTTCTCGCTCTGTTTATTGAAACTTTTCTCAAATAATAGATTGGTGAGCAACACTTTACTAACTGAAATTGACAAATCTTACAAATACTTTCCGCTTACTTCATACTATACACTGGGCTCAAAATTGGCCTATCGTTTGCGATGCTTATAAATGCAAAATTTTTAACCGTACTCTTAAAAACTCCCTAATGAACTCTATAGCTCTCCAACGAAACTGTTCGAGGAACGAATTGAGTTTTCACAAATTCAGTCCGTTCAGTGCTGCTCATTGAAAAAACGTTGTAAAATGGTTGACTTTCTGATCAAAAAAACAATATTCGAGCGTCACGCAATCGCTGTCTATTCATCCAATTGTTGTTAATGTTGTTGTTGCTTTGTCTCATTGATTCTTTTGTTTTTTAAACAATTATTTCACCAAAATGCTCGTCAACCTCTCCCTCAAATTCGACTGAGACTTTTCTATGTCCCTTGGAGCTGGACAGATCATCTTCCTCGTCGGAATAAACGCCACCGAAAACAAAGTTAGTGGCCTCTCTTCTATCCGTGGAATTTGACTCTTTGCACCGTGAACGTCTTGTCGAAAGGAGCACGATAAGAATACGAAAACTCGTCCTTTCCACAGGCTTCTGTGTTACAATAGGTTTCTAATGCAATATTTCTTGATGGCCGCTTTCTTTTAGATGCTGATCGAGGGAATTTATCTCTACCTCTTCGTTGTGAAAGCTTATAACATCAACACCAAGATGTACATGTATCACGTCATCTCATGGGGTGAGATTATTATTTTAAACATGCACTGGTAACTGTAACCATGCTTTCGGATCACCAAATATGGTGTCGTATCTAGCGAAGTGACACGATTTCCTTCCTTTCTTTATGGGTAGGTCTTCCAGTGATCATGGTGGCCATTTCACTTGGCATCGCTGCTGGAAAAGAAGGGTTACAAAGCTATACGAGTGATAAATAGTAGGAAAAAATTCAAGGGTTTCTTCTTGCTCTTCTCCTTTTTATTTGTTGCATTTAAATCTTTGTTTTGTTTTTGCATATAGTTTGAAATCGGTATCATTTCATTTGCAGACAATTTGTGTTTCTTTCTCGTGTTTCACTTCTTCGAGTTTAGTTGCTGGCTTTCCTCGACTAACAACCTGATCTGGATATTTGTCGCCTTTGTAGCTTTCATTGAAATTGTGAGTTTATGATTAGTGTTGGTGATTGTGACTGGTATACCTGGACTACTTGCTGCTAAAGATTTTTTTCTCTGCTCTGTAAAAAATAATTTAACTATTTATGATATGATCCCACAGAATATTTACCATTTTCCTTTTCCTATTTACCCACAACAAGCTTTGGACGGCTATTAGTTTTAACGAGAAAAACCTGTTGAGACAATGTCCACACAGGCATAAGATAGCTTCATAGACTCTCCAACTTTTACTACATAGTAGGAAGGAAAAAAAATTCTTCCTCCTTCCTGTTGATGGTTTCTCACTGTTTCACATTGATATCTTACGATATTTTTTTCGCGCAAGAATAACTAAAAAAAACATTGAACAAGAAGAAAGGGGCAGGAAGAGTAAATTTATGTAATTTAACACGAGGCCTCACTTGACATAGTTCATTTAGTGTAGAGACGTTCGTGATTTCTTCAGCTCATTGTCAGAGAATCGAAGCTCATAATCTAGGTCCCACAGTTGGAAGTTCTATTCCCCGTAAATGACTCTTTATCCGAAGCTTGTTACCAAACTAGTAACGTCTCTGTCAAGGATCCTCTCCTGCTTTGCCTATTCGATAACCATATCTAAATAATAAATTTATTTTCATTGTATTCTTCAGCTCAACTTCTTGATACTCCAACGAGTCATAAGGGAGATGACCAATTTGTTGCAGCCAACAGGGGCAGACAACCATTTTCAGCAAATACGGTAAGATTTGCAACATAAGACTAAAACAATATAGCCTCCTGTGAGGCTCTTTTCGCCTAACTTCCTCGCTCATTAACCAGTAAGGCCTTACGATATCTAACTAAATGAAAATTCATCGTCAAACGAAACTTGAGGAATATTTTCTTTTAACTCCTAGAATTGGCATCAAAGCATGCGTGCTGATGATTCCCCTGCTGGGTGTCACGTGGCTATTCGGTCTTCTCTTGCCTGTGCATAAAGCTTTCGCTTACATCTTCACCATACTCAACTCTATTCAGGTGAGTGTTCGATGATATCTCTCAAAATCATTCAACCTCTATTATTATGTTACTTTCTGATCAAGTGAGACACCGTTACAATGGTCACATGATATGTTTTTGGAATTGTGAAAACAAAAGTTTTTAACCATGTAAGAGAAGACAGACTTCTTTTTCAGTTATAAGATATATAATTCTCCTTCCTTCTTGAAAATCTTAATAGATATTTGACTAATTTGTTTGCATATTGTAGAAATTAATGATCCCGAAATCATCTTTATGCTACAGGGTTTTCTGATTTTCGCTCTACACTGCATGCGAAACACTCAGGTAAGAAAAAACATTAAACTGATTATTAACTCCATATCATCAAGTTTTAGTGCTTTGATAGATATCCGAGTAGTACTGCTAAGAACCATATTTCATGTTGCTTGTCTATCTGCAGATCAGAGAGCGATTCAAAAGAAAAATGAATATCGTTTTTCTATCTTCTTCAAAGGACAACTATACAAGGAAGAGCTCACAGGTCAATCCAAGTGAGGTTGGGGATATAAAGGCAGTTGAATTGCAGTCTTTTGCTAAATTTGAATCGAAATCGCACTTAACTGGATCCAGCCAACTGGAAATAACAGTCAATTACTTGGTACAAGTACTTACAGCGATTAGTCGGTTGCGATCGGTCTGAGTTGCGATCTGCAGGTAAAAGAGGTCATTCCGTTCATCTTTGTTTAAGCACTCAACTAGTTGTAAACGTAACCTAACTTCATGATTATAAGGTTATTTTCTCGGCAATCGGACATTTTCAGGCAAGATTCGACGAAATAAACCAATCTATAATTTTTTTTATATTTCTAATGGCTCAGTATGCTGACGACTATCCTTCGAATAAGATTACAGTCTGCCACAGACGAGGCGGGAATTTATGCCAGGAAATCATGACTCTTCTTTCTTCAAAAAAGCACTCTAACACGCAGCTTTAATAGAGTGTATTTATGTTTTGATTCTTGGACGCGAACTCTCTGCGCTTACGGCATGATTATTTCATATTCGGCGTTTTACTTATTGAGTTTTAACAAATTTTTCATCAAACATTATTATTACTATTAACAATAAGCTATGGATAATAACTGAATATAAGTTTCTAGAAATTTCGAGAATGCCTAGTCATGCTGATATGCATACCAAGGAACTTTCTGCAGCATTTTACTGGGTTTCGTAGTTATGATTTAACACTAAAAATATAGTTGTGTTGTAAGCTTCCAGAATTTTCTAGAATACTTTATACATAAGGAGTCAGTCGTGTAGCAGTAGTACTAGTTGTTGTCGGGAGTGACTGACTTTTCAGAAAGCAATACCGAAAGAGAGCTACTGTAGAAGATTGTTAATTTAAGGGAACTTTGGAGACAACTGTGAGATCGTGTCAATGGTGAGCTAAGATATAGTTTTTAGTTGGCTTCAGTAAGTTTATTTAAGGATAATTGTTCTACTTCCCGTTAAGAGTCGCTCATTGATGAGAATATTACAAGTTGTTTAATTAAGTAGTCGGGTTTGTTAAGGCCTATTTACATGGCATGACTTTGTCGCATGCGGCAAGCTTACGACAGGCCTACGACATGACTTAAGAGTCGTAAGCGAGTTGTAGGTTTGATTTACACGAAACAATTCGTGTCGTAAGCCTGTCGTAAGCTTGTCGCATATGACAAAGTCGTACCGTGTAAACAGGCCCTTAGAAAATAATGCTCTTTCTGTCGGTTAAATTGTACCGTAATGATACTAATAGTACTAGCAGCTAACGCTGACATTCAAATTTGTTGCTTAATGAATAAGTAGATGAATACGTAAATGTTTGAATAAATAAACAACTAATTTAGAAAGAACAGAAAAAAACCCCTAGACTGGATCTTTTGTGGATCAGTTACATTTACCCATTTGTTTTCACATTCCTAAAATAAGGAGTATCGTTTTGAATCGAAAATACAACGATTAATTGGAATTAAATTGGGGCGATGTTAGGCGGAAACGGGCATAAACCAACAGATTATAAACTATTCGGTACAAATTATTAAAGAACGATTCAAGAACTTTTATGCAGCGTAGACAATTTAAAGGAAAAAGCTCAGCGACAGAAATGTGGAATATTTCCATGGGCCTGGTTTTCAAATATCACTACAGTGGAGACGTAGCATTGAAGAAGAATTTCGACAAGCAAGAGAAGGAGTCGATAATGTAGATGTGCGTAACAGTTTGCAACAGTCTAGGTTACGTCACACCCATTTATAAACAAACGTAAATGACGAAGCGTACGATTAAGACGGAAGAAATAAAAAAAAAAGAATTATTCTGAAATATACAAGTATATTTCTCCCTACACCGCTCAAATCCGATAGGTCAAAACGCTTCAAGCTTCGATTGACTAAATAGATCGCAGCTAGGACTAGAGAATATTCGAGAATAAATAATCAATTATTCCATGAGCGTGGAGAGATACCAGAAGAGTAGAATGTCTCGCCCACAGAGCACATCACTATGACCCAAGAACGTCTCGCACAAAGAGCTTTTGACCCCACCGCTCCTTCTAAAATGTTGGAATTCGAACATTTGAACACAAAAGTGATGGTTTGCATGATAATAATGCGTATTAATTAACATATGAGCGAGTTATTCCATCAAAGTTAAAGGAGTACGAAGTAATTAGACCCACCAACTGAAACGTGCAGCATGTCATAGGCGAGATGAATTAATAATAATCATTTCCATTATTTTATGCTTGCGAACAAATGGCGTAATAGCTTTAGCTGCCAGTCGATAAAAAGAAGTTTGTTCGAGACAACTTTCATTTAGCAGAGCTCAAAAAGAAACAATCATTCTAAACATCAATTATTTTTGAGCTGCTTCCTTACAAAACTTCAACTACAAAAAGTGTTTTAATGCCGTGAGGTTTTCCGATTGTATTAAAAAAAACAATGCTCCGCATCTGGTGCAAGTTGCTTTTGTCTATTGGTCCGTCTTTGACAGAAAAATAAAAATCGAGACTGACGCCATGAATATGCGATCACAGATCATGATTTGCATTAAACTCAAACTGGTACCAAAGCGTTTTATGAGGATGCCGCAAACTCAAAACTCTTAAGCGGGGTGAATCAAATTTAAGTGCAACGATAGCTCCTGGGAGCAACCTTTGCATATCTTGGGCATGATGAAGTGGATGATAGATGGAGCTGAATCCGGCAAAATTTTCAAAACCCTTTTAATATGTTGTGTGCTGGGTAAGTACGACGCTAGTTATTCCTGTTTGTTCTGCTGTAGCTACGAAACCTTCGAAACTGACTTTCCAATTTGTGAAATATTTATTTCCAATTTAAACTTAAGGAACTATAATAACGAAACATACCAAACTCTACAAATCTCCTTTCTAAACTATTTGTTTATCAATAAAGCAAAACTTTGGGATCTTTGTATTATCATTATTATTAGTTTCTCTATATTAATCGCCTTCCGTATAATGCCAAATGATTGAACTGTGTGATGAGCACAACTAGATCCGGCAAAGTGTGCAAATTTTTTTTAATAAGTTGTGCGCCAGGTAAGTACCACAGTTATTTGTGCACTGTTAATTAAAACAAAACAAAACAAAACATACTCCGAAGATGTCCGCATTAAACTCTTAATTCTTAATTAGAGAAGGATCTCTTTTAAATTGGGTTCTGAAACCTTTTAGATTCCGTATAGTGCAAAGTAATCAAAGATCAAATAGCACAGGCGAGACATTCATGCGGTAGTCCTATTATTTGCGTCATGGTTATCTGCACAACAGCTTTGGCAGCCATATTTAGGATAACAGGAACACACTAGCTTAGTTGCTATCGTTTTATGTCACTAAGACAAGATGTTAATAGGGGAATACGTCTCCTCTTCAGATAGGTGCTGAACGTTCGACGTGCTTAGACGAAAGATCGAACTTAATTATCAGGGTCCACCAAAAATGGTATTGGATTTTAACATTCGATCCGGGGTTTGAAAAAAAATGGTTGAATTGGTTTAATTTTTCCTTTCTCGTAGATAGCTGATTTTCTGAATGAGCTGAGGGGTTAAAGTGACGCGCACTCACAGAAGATAATTAAAGCAACTCTTAAAATTAAACAATTTTCATATTTTAACATTCGACAATGGAACTCCTTACAGCCACATGGAGATTCTTTTTTTTTATTTATTTAAGCTTTATTAAAAGAATTCTGTCTTTGGCTTTTAATAAAGTCCTCTTATTCATAATGTTTAATGGATCACCCCGAAATTATACGAGCATCACGGACGATGAAACTTTGCGGCTCATGTTCCTCATACCAGGGTCATGTACAAAGAATTCCAGCCTTAAGCTTTACTGAGAGCCTTCGGATAACGCGCTATTCAAATATCGCGGTACCCAAACCGTTAGAGCTTTCAAATTATTGTTGAGTTATTAAAACTGCTGACTGCTCGTCAAGTTGGACGCCGTGGACAATTAAAACATATTTCTCTTTTAAATTATTCTTCTTTGTACCCGAAAGCAAACGTTATACTTATCTCATTGCTTTTACAAAAAAAAATTCATTTAAAAAAATGGGTTACGTAGGTTCCACGGTCTGCTGATCCATAGTTTGGTAACACCATGAATATGCAAAAATCCTCACTAGATTTTGGAGGCCAATCCCACAAGATTCAAATTGTGCAGGAGTTTTATTTGAGCGATCAGTGATCAGTGATCATCGATCATCAGTTGTGCAGGAGTTTTATTTGAGCGATCAGACTTGATAACTGATTAATTTGCTTAACGAAATATCGTCCCTTTCGAATTGTTGCAAGCTAGAGCGAAACATTTTTTTTTCATTGTTTTATAGTTTAGTTGCACTCCGAATGGCCCGTTTAAAGATTCTGTCCGAAAGACGTTCTCGAGGGTCCATCGTATCCTTAAAAATGCTTCCCTCGTGTAGCAAGTTTTGTTCAGCGGGTTGGTAAATTGCACAGATGCGGCATTTTATTTAAATTTCTCCGTCTGCTCCCTAAGGAAGAAAATAAAAATCATGGGTCGATGTTAAAGGGCATGTAGCAAACAAATATAATGCATCAGCACCGTCTGGCTCGAAATCTAATAAACTTTTCCATTGTTTCAAATGTTATTATTGAGATAACAATCAGTTTATTTGCTCATTTCTCTTTTACAGTCATCCTTCATGTGTTGATGGATTTGCCAGGAACAGGTTGGGCAGTGCTAATTCCAATTTTAACATTTACGCCCCTGAATTTATGAACGGGGAAAAAAGGATACTATCAGACTGATCATGCTAATAATTAGATATAGACTTCCTATTACAATTACGTCGGATTCTGATTTAAAACGTAAGTTGGAAAGAGTCAACGAGTAACAGTGCTACTACCCTAAAACCTAGCCTAATTCTAATTTTGCCTTAGTGAGGTAGAGGGTTTTAATGCCTATCGTTTGTTATTGAAATTAATTGTATAAAAAATTTAAGAATTTTTTCATGTTTAGCGTGCGTATATCGAGTTATGGATGCACTTGGGAAGTTTGCAGAGCACGAAAAATGCGTAAGAGTAGCTCGAGGCGCAGCCGAGAGCAACTCTAGCTTCTTAAGTGCTCTCCAAACTTCTCGCGTGCATCCATAACTCGATATATACACAGCAAAAAAAGCATGAGCAAATTCTTTCATAACAGAGCGACAACAAGGATATGCGCGAAGAAGCATTTTATTGTGATAGAGTGCAAATTTCTCACAACGTACAAAAAAAGTAAACAAACGTCCCTGTTGGCTGTTTAAAAACACGCCACATTTTATACCTTGGTTTGAGCGGAAACATTTGATCCAGTTAACCGATAACTGTGAATGAGAAGCTCAAAATTTACGGGGAAAATGGAGAAAATCAAAGCCAAATGAACTCAAATGTCACGAAAAAATGTTTTAAAAGTCAAAGACCCGAAGTTATCAAGGGTTTTGATTGTTCGAAATAATGTTACGCTGCCGTGCAAAGTGCAAAAAACAACAATGAAAACGGAAATTTTACCTTTAAATGTTGTTAATGACCAATTGGTGATTTTTTGTTCCCAGTGAATGTCTTTCGGCCAAAATTTGCTGCAGCTGGTCTTCCGACGAAATTGCGAAACGTGCAACTTGCGAGTTTTTTTCGGCTTTATTTTTGTTGCTTGTTGGATCAGGATCTAAAAGGTCAATGCCGATAGAAAAATTGGGAAGTTCTTAACTGGTTTCATCTATATTTCAAAGAGAAGGAAAACTGCACTGCAGCTTAACAGGACGGAAACTCTGGAGCCAGGTTAAAAAAAATGCTCACGTCATCTTATTTACGCACGGGCGTGCCGCGTAAATGAAGATTTTGTTCATAGCAGCTAAATAGGACTTCTATAGGGCAAGCACGCGCGCTATGTTATAATACTTTCTCGTCTCCATCATCAGCATTATTGTCATCATTAGTACACATTTATTCATTAGTATACCTTTGTTTTCTGCTCGTAGGGTGCCAAGCAATCTGTTTCAAAAACTCCTCTTACATATTTTCGA